ATTTTATTCCAATTTGTTTAACCTCACAACACAATATTCCTTGCCTAAATGATGACTTCCCAGGAAGACTTGTGTCCATCGACATTCCTCAATATGTTACCACATTAGAACCGTTTTCATTAAATTTCACCAATTGCCAGTGAAGCATAAAATTGCATTTTAAATAATTTAGCTTGTTTAAAACCTCATTTAGTATGCAACCTCAAAATATTGTCTGAAATACTTTCGATATACTCACATCCATATTCAAATAACATATGGAGTGCACAGGACAAGCTGCTTCTGAAAACAGGCGCATACGTAGGGGAGGGGGGGGGGAGTTGGGGGTTAACCCCCCTTCAGTTCTGTTCACGTATGTATTTTTGAGCAAACCATATGATTTGTTAAAAATATTTTTAATTAAAAAAAAAATAAAAAAATATGCCAATGGCTGACCTAAAAAAGGTGACCTTACCCCCCCCCCTCCCCTAACGGAGCAAAATGTCAATTTTTCAAATTTCGAGACCGAAAACGTTCACGCTGTATTGCCCTCGTGATTCTACGTATTCTACCACTTATTATGGAGTTGATTCAGGCTAATCAAGTCCACATACCAAGTATAGTATATAATATTGACTGCTTTGAGAGACATAGTTGTTTTTATACGGTATTGCCCGAGGCTTGTCGAGGGCAATAGCACGATTGTAACCTCTCCGGGAGCGTATAAAAACAACTATGTCTCGAAAGTTAAAGCAGTCATTATTACTTTTATATACTGAAAAATGAGTCAACTTATGAAATCACCTTGGCATTTTTCTAGTTTGTTGATTTAAATATTTAATCTAATCTAATTTGTATGTACATTGTGCCCTCTAATGTAAGAGAGGGCACAATGCACATGCAAATACAGGCTGGACTATTTGTGTTACTGAAATGTGCTCAGAATTGAAGTAATTCATCTATTAAATGACTATAACAGACAAGAAACAAGTCAAAGGTAAGGACAGGAATTAGTGCTTATCAATATAACATAATTTTTGCATGAAATACCATCAGGAAAGCTATCTAAATTTGTCACAAATTAGCGACAAACATACCAAATTCAGCGCTGCAATGACGCACAAAACGGCGTAGAATTAAACTTTTCATCCACCAAATGAATTCAAACACTTGCATTATACAATCTTCAATACCTTTTGGTGTTCTTGCTGTCAGCAGAATTAATCAATTTCAATATCAATTTCATTTCAATTATCAATTATCAAGTCTTGCAATTGATCATCATCAAGAATTTGAAATCTAGAAAGGGTTTCTTCAACCGTTTTTGCCGTGTTTGGGAACTATAAGTAGAATCTAGGCCGGATTTAGTAGTACGATCGACATAGGCCTGGATGTACGTCTTATCAAAAAATCAAACAATTAAGCCAGCGACCAATTCGCACACACACAATGTATGGTATCCGCGCTCGCTCAAACCAGATTTTAACACGTGAACCAATGGGTATTTCAGCAAGATTTAACTATCTTCCCGGTAACTAGAATTTTACCGGAATTTTATTGATTTACTCTAGAACTATTACATATGTTTGGCATTTTTCGTTTATTTACGGGAATTGCTAAAACCACGACTGCAATTTCGACCAATCAGATGGCTGGATTTCTTAAGTGAGGTATATAATTTGTACCATTGACTGATTTGAGAAATAACACTCTTAACCAAAATCCCCCTATAAAAAAAAAAATTATAATCAGGATTCAGTTCCGAAACCGCTAGTCATTCCAGGAGATCTTATATGCTATAAATGAATGGTATTGTAAACTAGATTACGTATTAATACTAATTAGATTAGTGTTATGCTGTTGAGTAGTAACACACGAGGTAACGATGAATTAAGTCTGAAGGTGTATATTGATATTAACATTATAGATTATCTTGGGATATCCACATTAAATCTCTTACCAAATCATTAAGTTATAAGATTTTTACTTTAGGAAAGCTCAACAAATGTCTAAGTTCTTCCATTTTGAATAAAATATACAAATGTACCATACATCCAATCTTAGATTATTGCTGTTCCGTATGGGAAAACTGTTCTTTACAAAACAGAAATATTCTTTTAAGACTACAGAAAAGAGCTGCACGTATTGTCGTAGGGAACTTTGATTATGATGTAAATAGCTTGAATATAATGAACTCATTAAAATGGCAATCCATTGATACTAGACGGGACTGGTTTTTAGCATGTGTAATGTACAACTGCATTCATGGAAAAGCCCCAGTACGATTATGCAATGAAGGAGAAATAGTTTTTGACAGACATGGTTTTAACACTAGACATGCCAATACGCTGAATGTTGTTTTCTCCAAGCCTAATCTTGAATGTTTTAGATACGCTGGTGGTAAAATTTGGAACAATTTACCTTCTGCTTTTCAAAATGCTAAATCTATCGATGTTTTTAAACGTATTTACAAGGACCAATTTTTTAAACATGTGTGATACAATGCCGATTCATTTACTGCTCTTGACGTGGCTTATTTCTCTCTCTCTCTCTCCCCCCTCTCTCTCTCTCTCTCTCTCCATTTCTCTCTCCCCTGTTTCTTTCTTTCTCTCTTTCCTCCTTTACTTTCTACCAATTTTCTAATATCTTATATCTTCTAATTTTTGGGGTGATATTTTAATGCCTTTTATTAAAGTGATTTGATGTTTTTCCGCTGTTCATTTCAATTATTACATTGTCGTTTTTGTTTTTTGTTTTGTACTTTTTACTACTTTTAATGCGTATTATTCTTATATGTTAGTTTTATACTGTTCTTACCTTTGCTTGTGACCTTTGGTGATATTTATATTTCCGTGGACTACATTTTTATGCAGGACCATGATGTAAAATAGATTTTGTATCTACAATGTATATCTGATTCTTGTTATCCTGAATAAATATATTTCAATAAATAAATAAATAAATCTTCTTTGACATAGATGGGACTGGCCACGCATGATATCCTGATAAACTGCATGCATGTTTTGAGACTAAAATTCAAATCCCCGTTAAATACTTTTTGAAAGGGTAGTTTGATACAAATTACGAATATCTTTTTCTTTTAGAATATTAGTACTAGGCCTAGGTACTAGGAATAATTTTGGCTTGGCCGTAGTGTGGAAGAATTCAAAAGCAGCAACATGTCCCCTGAAAAGAATAGCTCTTCAAATGGTTCACGCATAATGAATTCCTTGTGTAGTGTAGTGAGGTATTAATAACATCTTTATATTGACACTCGTTTTCATAACTATTCGAGACATGACATATTTCGATTCCTTTTGCTTTTAGTAAACAGAATAACTGGTACACAGGGACAATAAATCTCTCTCTCTCTCTCTCCCTCCTTCAGGCATCCATTCAGTCATTTTCTTTCAATCTGTTTCACTCCCGGCCATTCTCTCTCTTTCTCTCTCTCTCTCTCTCACTTGATATTTCATTTTCCCTCTTATTAAACTGTTTTATCTTTCTCTCTCTCACTCACATTCACACAACACTATTTCACTTGTTTATTCTCTCGCTCTTACCCACTCACTCTTTTTTTTCTCGCTCTCCAACTCACTCATTTTATTTTTACACACTCTTTCTCTTTCATTTGATCGCTTTCTTTTAATAAAATTTGGAGTGGACTATTAGATTATTATTATTATTATTATTATTATTATTATTATAATGTACCAAACTCACTCCTGTTCCACACTTCTTTTCCCCTCTCTCTTACTTCCATTGAATCACACACCCTATCTTTATGCTATCCTGCATATCATGCATGCTGCCGCATACATCCCCGTCGCCCCACCCCCCACCCCCCATCACCAGCAACAAAAAAGAAGTTGGAGATGCCGCGGAAATGATCTAAAGAAATTGTGGGCTTCCCAGAGGGAATATTAATGCATCCCTTACGTGTACATTGACACACACTCCCAAACGTGCACGAATTTCGTTTGAGTGCTTGTGAGTGCGTGAGGGGGGGGGGAGGGAGGTACCCCTTTCGTTTATCAGCTTGTAGGTTTGACTATGACACTTTCAATCCTTGACGTTGGAAAACTCAAATAAATTTCTTGTATTAAAAACAATTATATAAAAGTAATGCAACTAAGAGACATTGGAAAAATTGATCCCGCCACGAATACATATCTCTATAATAGTAGGCCAGAGCCAAGACGTTGTTATGTCTACTTTTGATACAATGTGGGTAAATGCATGGCATCCATGCTAAATCTCTTGGAAAATAATAAGGAATAAGACGTTGGAAGGGCGTCACACACACTTCTTAACAAAACAAAATAAAATTGTTGTGCTCAACATTTTATCGAATGAAAACAAATCACGATTTATAATTTGTTTACTAAAAGTGTATTATTTGGAAAAAACCTTCAAGTTGTATTATTCCTGAGTTTAAAGTAATACACCTGTTAAATTTTCATTTTAAAATTAAATATAACACGGTTCTAGGACCATTACCCCTTGGGCAATCATCCCCGGCCAATTACCAGCTGGACAACTACCCCCGAAGGAAAATTACCTTCCGGAGAAAATAACCCCCGGAAATTACCCTCGAGGACAACCAAACCCGAGGACAATTATTCTACTTAAAATTACCCCCTAGAACATTATTACGCCCCCTCTCCGAGGGCTTATTCTTCTATTTGGAGACAAAACCAAGAACCAGCAGCGGCTGGATGTGTCCGGGATGAAGGGCAGTGACGAAGAAGACTTGTCTGTCAGGACTAAACAACTAAGGTCTTGATATTTATATTGATGCATATGGAAGTGACAAGTTCGTTTTCTTTTTTGTTTTCATTGCAGAATACTTTAGGCTTGAGATACAACACTGCCAGCTTTCTGTTGACATGACCGACAAGTTGTGGTCCAGCCTCAGATAACTCACTTCACTCAACCAGCTCATAACATCAGCCTCCTCTCTCAGTTTCCAGTCGTCTCCTCTTGAGTTTCCACCCGTCACAAAGCTTTCAGCTAATAGAATGGCGTCAAAAAGCTACGAAGATCTGATCTCATCACCCCCTGGATTGACAGATATCGACTTCACTATCGATGATGCAGAGAGAGACATCCCTAAGATCGCGGCTGGTCTTCGTCGGACCGGAGGAGAGCAGTTCACGCACATCACGATTACAGCACCGTCATCACTCCCATCAGAGAAAAGGAGTGTATCAAGAGAGACGATGAGAGGACTGGGTCTACTGATCAGAGAACAAACCAAGAACCTTCAGTGGCTTTGTCTGTCCAGAGTGAAGTGCACAGACGAGGAAGACTTGGTTGAATTCGTCGAGACTTGCAGACATGTGGAGACGATGAATCATCTAATGTGAGTTTATTGTACAAATCTTGTGTCATTCAATAATATTGATATTGATATAAATACTAATAATGATAAAGATAATAATAATGATAGCAATATTCATAATGATAATAATTATAATATAATTAATAACAATGATAATGATGATAGAGATAAAAATAAAAATAGCAAAATAGGTATTTTAATGTATAACAGTAAAAATATACCTGATAAAACCTGATCATTACGCTATCATGCACAACAGATGTGGATAATTTGCTTTAGTTTATAATGGGCTAAAAACAGGCTCTTAAAGTGATGGTTGAGTTTGATTGCAGAGGGCACTATTTTTTTTGGTGAGAAAATGAAAAACTGAGTATCAAATTTAAAAGATTATGCAATTTAAATGAGAAAATCATCTTTGTTTGATCGAAATCGGTTCAGATACGGCTGTAATAAACATAAATAGAACCATTTCTAATATTTGTGGTGCTTCACAAATATTCGGTAATTTTGAACCAGCCGTCGAAAAATGAGATACGCCTTTTACGTTTTATTCTGGCCAATGCCAACATTGGCTTTCGTTGGCTTTTTCATGTTGGTTATAAAACGCACAACCAGCAAGCCCGTGTATGTTAATTATTGATCAATTAATTAATTAATTAACGGTCACCAATATTTTTTTAAAGTGGAGCTGAATAGGTATGATCGTATTAAATCTAAATTCACACATTTTGGTGTTTAAAATTACCTTCATAGCAAATTTGGGTTCTAAAAGGACACTAGAAAAGTCACAAATAAGCATAGGAACAATAATGAACTTTGAAGGCAGTCTCAAACAACAACTCAACTATCCCTTTGTTTGTATTTGTTTGCATTGATTTCACCATGTTTTCTGTATCGGATGTCTACAGTTGAGTTAAACAGAAGAAAAGAAGAAAATATTGAGAGTCTGTCAGCTGAAAAGACCTCTACACCTCTAGACCTCTTCACGACATGGCAGATTACGTAAATTATTCAAAGCTAGAAAGGGGTGTGAATGTCGTTATGTTAAATATATGTATAATGTCCACCCCCAAAATTGGCCGGAAATATATAAAAACAAGTTTCTAACAGTCGGCATGCTGTACTGTTTATGTTCGACTGGCTTAATTTGCTTCTGTTCATCTCATTAGGCCCCACTCTTTTTTTGATCTTTTTAAACGACCTACTCAAATCATCAAGTAAAGATTGGTTGTAGCTTCTTTACCATTGGGGAAATCTCGTTTTTATTTAGTAGATACATCTAAGAATCTCACAATTTTTTGATGCCAATAAGATAACTATTAAAACATTAAGAAAATTGTTATTGTCACGCCAGGACGTTATTCTGTAAAACACACTGTACGGAGCGAGACATTTCCTTCCTAAGGAGATACTTTATTATGATATCATTCATTCATCCAAACACATAGGTCTATATCTTAAATGGTCTAAAAGTGTGGGGATGAACATCTGCTGCAAAGATGATACTCGACTCGGTCTTACATGCAAGATAAACAGAAACAGAAATGTGTTTATTAGACTGCAAACACATGTTGTAAAAAAAGTTTGGTCCACAAAATGCAGCTATTTCTCGTAATATTTCGACTATTTCCAGGGCCATCCTTTTGAACGGACATTTTAAAAATAACATTAATTGACATTAACATAAAAGTAAATAGAAAGCTCACAGTTAATTTTCTATTTTTCATAGAACTCCGCCATCTATTTAATTTAAATTATAAGGGAAATAACAAACCCGAGCAGGATTATTATTATTTTTTTTTTTTATAGCAATCACCTCCATTTATAACAACTATTTCTTGTCTTTCCTTAGTACTTATTCATACATGGACTCCTCTTCAAACATGTCAAACGGGTTCAATGCGACGTGGCTTGGTGTTACTAGTAGAGCAGTGCAGGGTCTCGTAACCGGGAGATCCCTTAATCGAAACCAAGTCGATGCACTAGTGCCCATAGGAAAGGCAGTAATTCTAAGTCCCTCGAAGAGGACTTAAGGCCATCGATCCCATACCTTGGTACAAGTACACACATGCTTGCTCAGTAGTCAGATGAAAATAAACTTATAACTCTTTCAAACCTCCTTTTGTTAACGCAATTTTACACATTATCGATTTGTTGCAGGCTTCTTGAATGTGGAACAAACGCAAACGGTAGACTAGGACTGAACATCACATGTAGTGTTAAGCCACTCAGGGTGATTCCTTTGCATGTAAGTAACCTACTAGGTATATTATATATATTTTGATATATTGAGACAGGTATGCAAGTATATCATTGGACAGTGTAACATAGATTTATTGCATCGACGTCCTCTGTCTATGCCTTGTTTTCGTTCGCGTTCTGAATTCTTATACTTCCTACATTAAAATCCCATTCGTTGTACACGCAGTGCTTGTGAGCGCTACCTAGGTCCCGATTCTCTTCAAACATCATAGGCATAATTTTCGGCATCCCGTGACGGCAACTGAGCTATTCGTCTTCCAAAATTAGTATTGCATGCATATCTAGCCTCCCTTTCTTTGTTTTTGGCCCTTATTGATGCTTTTCATTCTGGCTACCTATCTCCAGTATCCTAGGTGCTATGAAATTCTATCAGATCAATCTAGACAGTCAAATAAATGCTCATTCATCAGAGACGCAAACATGCCCTTTAAAATGATATCCTTTGAGTAAATCGGTCCCAAACGGAATATCTACCAAGTCCCGTCCTATTATAACAGGCATTGGCTATATGCCATCATATTTCTCTACCCATTTTGCCCCCTTCCGATATTTTTGTTTCCTTGAAATGTTGCAAGTGTATTCTCCTTGGCCAAACCCTATGTTATACCCCACTTGTTTTGGTCGTATGGAAGGCGGTTCGGGCTACAGCATGCGCTTCATGACGTGTTCCTCTTTTACCAAATTTCATTCGTTTTGCTCGCAGTGCTTGTTCACTTATTTTAGGTCCCTTCTTCTTTTTCGATTCTTTCAAAAAGTCGTTAGCATAGTTTTCAGGATCCCATCGTGGTCACTGAATCTTCATGCTCTAAAATCATTAATAAATGACTGTCCAGGCCCGATATTTGTTAGTTTCGGGTACCTTGTCATGCCTTTCTTTCTGCCGTCCTATTTCCACTTTGCCTAAAGCTAAAGCGTGGATTTTGTTAAATAACGTACAGGGCATTTTAAGGGGAAATGTGCACAGAGAGGAATATAATTTTCTTTTGTGAGGAACAGTTTAAATCTAATAGTATATCGTATTAGGTGAAAAATGTTGAAAACAAGAGGGTTGATTTTTATTTTTAAAATTAAAATGTCAAATTAAAGGAGCAGGGTGCATCGTTTGAACATTATGCGGCTAAAATATGAAAGTACTTTCTAATTCCAGGATGATGGTAAACTCTCTGTAGAGAAATGCCACTTATCTTCCGAAATGACTGAGAGAATGTGGTCCTGTCTCAGATCCTTCAACTCACTGAACCATCTCACCATCTCAGACTCCTCTCTCAGTTTCCCTTCATCTCCTCTTGAGCTTCCATTCGTCAAAAAGCTATCAGCTGAGAGAGTGACGTCACAAAGCTATGAAAGTCTGCTCTCGTCGCTCCCTGGCTTGAGACATATCGATATCACTATCGATGATGCAGAGAGAGACATACCTCAGATCACGGCTGGTCTTCGTCGGACCGGAGGAGAGCAGTTCACGCACATCACGATTACAGCACCGTCATCACTCCCATCAGAGAAAAGGAGTGTATCAAGAGAGACGATGAGAGGACTGGGTCTACTGATCAGAGAACAAACCAAGAACCTTCAGTGGCTTTGTCTGTCCAGAGTGAAATGCACAGACGAGGAAGACTTGGTTGAATTCGTCGAGACTTGCAGACATGTGGAGACGATGCATCATATAACGTGAGTTTATTGTACAAATCTTGTGTCAGTCAATAATATTGATATTGATATAAATAATAATAATGATAAAGATAATAGTAATGATAAAAGTATTCATAATGATAATTATTATAATATAATCAATAACAACAATAATGATGATAGAGATAAAAATAAAAATAGTAAAATAGGTGTTTTAATGTATAAGACTAATAACATACCTAATAAAACTTGATCATTACGCTATCATGCGCAACAGATGTGGTTAATTTTCTTTAGTTTATATTGGGCTAAGAAATAATAACATGTAACTACAGACTCATAAAGTGATAGTTGAGTTTTGTTGCAGAGGGCGCTATTTTTGTGTGAGATAATGACAAACTGAGTGTCAAATTTAAAAGATCATACAATTTAAATGAGAAAATCATCTTTGTTTGATAGAAATCAGGTCAGATACGGCTGTAATAAATAAAATATCTGTGATGCTTCACAAATATTCGGTAATTTTGAGCCAGCCGTAGAAAAACGATATACGCCTTTTACGTTTTATTCCGGCCAATGCCAACATTGGCTTTCGTTGGCTTTTTCATGTGAGTTATAAAACACACAGCAAGCCGGCCCGTGTATGGTTATTATTGATTAATTAATTAATTAACGGTCACCAATTTTTTTTTAAAGTGGAGCTGAATTGGTATGATCGTATTAAATCTAAATTCACACATGTTGGTGTTTAAAATTACCTTCATAGCAAAGTTAGGTTCTAAAATGACACTAGAAATGTCACAAATAAGCATAATAATGAACTTTGAAGGCATTTGCGGTCTGAAACAACAACTCAACTATCCCTTTATTTGTATTTGTTTGCATTGATTTCACCATATTTTTTGTATCGGATGTCTACAGTTGAGTTGAACAGAGGAAAAGAAGAAAATATTGAGAGTCTGGCAGCTGGAAGGACCTCTAGACCTCTAGACCTCTTCATGATATGGCAGATGACGTAAATTATTCAAAGCTATTGTGGCGTAACCGGGCTCTGCCGGGGTAGCGTTCTGCCTTGCAGTCTCTCAAAACCCGGTTCACGCTCTCGACAATCATTCATCGACTATATCTCTCAGTGGGCTCTCACAAAAGTATATTGTGTAAGAAATAACGTGGACTAGCTCTCATTTTACTCACTCCCGCAATCACTGAATGTCTGACAGGACTAAAGAAACAACACTTGTACAGTATCTGCAGTTCAAGTAACTTTACTCGTTCCTGGTAACGGACCTGTCGCAACGACAGGCCGACGCTGACTCACAGATCAAGACTATATAGAACCTGCCTCAACGGCAGCTAAGCGCTGACTCCCTGACATCTCACGATGTACACATATATATTTCACAATTAACTATAACGCCCTCTATGTCTCACTAAATTACTGGGCTAGTTATGCTACACAGCCCCTCCCCAAGTGTGGGCTGTCCTCAGACCACTCTTTAACAAAACAAGATAACATTTTCTCTGACAAATCTTTCGAAAAAAAAGTATACACATACTTAAAACTCCTTAAAGTACATGTATATACACCTAGATTTAACAACAAAATGATCTATCTACAATAGTAGATAAAGAACAAAAGAGGAGTAGAGAGAAACGGGAAAGTTTAGGAAAGAAAGGGAGCGGAAGGAATAGGACCAGAAATGTAGAAGTATTGAAAACATAGAAGAATATATGCTTATACATCTTAAAATAAAATATACCCCTCTTCTTTTTCTTCTGTTATCTAACAAATGCAAAACAATGCATCCCTGAACTATCGTAAACACGAAATATTTGCATAATAACAAAACAACATACAACTTTTGTAAAGTGCAAGATAAGAACTCGAATAAAGTGAAAGAACAAAAGAAGTAGAGGGAGAACGAATGCAAATATGAGTTTGAAGACAAAGGGTGAGGAGTAGAAGGAAAGCAGGATTTAAGATGAACAAGATAAGGCATAATTCACTACAGGTACATAAGTAAAAACAACGAAATACATCAATTGGAATAGCAAAATACTGGCTGCTTAGTTTGAGTTTATGGCAAAATTAAATAAGTTGGGTCTTGGTGGATTCCTAGTTCTCGCGGGATCTCTCCTAGAGGCTGGGACAGGAACCTTTCGTGGTGCAGGTACAGTCGGTTCAACAAGTTTCGAAGCTTCCCTGTCGACGGGTCAACCTCCTCTTCCTCTCCTAAAGCTGACATGTGCAAGTTGGCTAGGAGCGTCCTGCTCAACCTTCGTGCTGACTTACACTCGCTTCTAAATAGGAGTCCGTAGGCTGAAGAGTGCCACTTCTTAGGGTTTCAACCTGTCCACATGAATTACCTTCAACTGCCGTACACTCAAGCGGACGTCTGCATTCGTTCCTACCCATAGAACCTCAACTCCTCCAGCAAACCTTATCTCTGGTCTTGTTCATGCCAAGGTATCCACTAGACTTGCCACCAAGCAATTCCTTCACAACGACCTCTCGAAGCTTAGCTGATAAGACAACATTCAGTTATCCTATGGCCTTGGTCACATTCCCATTTCCTGTAGAGAACGCCTTGCTTCATTTCCAGTTGGGCTCACTCCCTCCAAGGGCTTCTCCACCCTGGACTTTGAAGCCATTGCTGACCAATCTGGCCGGTCCCCTGACCGCTGCTTTGCTTCCAGGATCCACGTCGTACTGAAGGATCTTACGTCTGGTCTTGGCTCATCTTCTCATTCCTGATGCTGGGTTCTATCGTAACTGTCCTTGCCTTCACATAGGTATCTCGGTCCCTCCACTGTCAGTGCTGTTCGTTCTGCAGAGATTGCTGACTCCTTGAAGTTCCGCTTACACGCACTGATCACAATTCGACACTGCCTTCGCCTACACACAGGCTAAACCTGCAGGCGCTGTCTCTGCCTTCGCCTGCACACAGGCCAAACTCCAGGCGCTGTACCTCCCACGTACAGGCGCAATCCCAGGCGCCATCTCCGTCTCAGACTGTCGAAGATCTTCGTCTCTACGCTGAACCTCTGCTGCAAGCATCACAATTTCCTCCTCCATAGTCACTCGTTGAGCAGCCATACACTCCCTATTATACTTGTAAAAACACAAAACTCCAGTCAGGCGCTATATACTCTCAATGTATAGGCGCTATGTCTGCCGGCGCCTATACAGACGCTATACCTTCAACGTGGCGCCTATCACTGCCGGCGCCTATCACTGCCGGCGCCTATATAGGCGCTATACCTCCAACGTGGCGCCTATCACTGCTGGCGCCTATATAGGCGCTATACCTTCAGCGTGGCGCCTATCACTGCCGGCGCCTATATAGGCGCTATACCTTCAACGTGTCGCCTACCACTGTATGCGTAGGCGCCAATCTACTTCCGGGTTCGCTGTTGGGGGAGTTCGTTCTGAGCTGCTACAGCCACGTCGCTTCAATCCCACCGCTGCCACCAATGTGGCGTAACCGGGCTCTGCCGGGGTAGCGTTCTGCCTTGCAGTCTCTCAAAACCCGGTTCACGCTCTCGACAATCATTCATCGACTATATCTCTCAGTGGGCTCTCCCAAAAGTATATTGTGTAAGAAATAACGTGGACTAGCTCTCATTTTACTCACTCCCGCAATCACTGAATGTCTGACAGGACTAAAGATACAACACTTGTACAGTATCTGCAGTTCAAGTAACTTTACTCGTTCCTGGTAACGGACCTGTCGCAACGACAGCCCGACGCTGACTCACAGATCACAACTAAATAGAACCTGCCCCAATGGCAGCTAAGCGCTGACTCCCTGACATCTCACGATGTACACATATATATTTCACAATTAACTATAACGCCCTCTATGTCTCACTAAATTACTGGGCTAGTTATGCTACACTATAAAGGGGTGTGAATGTTGTTATGTTAAATATATGTATGATGTTCACTCCCCAAAATGGGCCGGAAATATATCAAAACAAATTCCTAACAGTCGGCAAGCTGTATGTTCGACTAGCTTAATTTGCTTCTGTTCATCACATTAGGCCCTACTTTTTTTGGATCTATTTAAACGACCTACTGAAATCACCAAGTAGAGATTGGTTGTAGCTTCTTTACCATTGGGAAAATCTCGTTTTTATTCAGTAAATACATCTGAGAATCTCACATTAAGTCAATTGTTTGATGCCAATAAGATAACTATTAAAACATTAAGAAAATTGTTATTGTCACGCCAAGACGTTATTCTGTAAAACACACTGTACGGAGCGAGACATTTATTTCCTAAAAAGATACTATTATTATGATATCATTCATTCATCCAAACACATAGGTCTATATCTCAAATGATCTAAAAGTGTGGGGATGAACATCTGCTGCAAAGATGATACTCGACTCGGTCTTACATGCAAGATAAACAGAAACAGAAATGTTTTTATTATATTGCAGACACATGTGGTACATAAGTTTGGTCCATAAAATGCAGCTATTTCTCGAAATATTTCGACTATTTCCAGGGCCATCCTTTTGAATGGACATATTCAAAATAATATTAATTGACATTAACATAAAAGTAAATAGAAAGCTCACAGTTATTTTTCTATTTTTCGTAGAACTCCGCCATCTATCTAATTTAAATTTTAAGGGAAATAACAAACCCGAGCAGGATTATTTTTTTTAAAGCAATCACCCCCATTTATAACAACTATTTCTTGTCTTTCCTTAGAACTTATTCATACATGGACTCCTCTTCAAACATGTCCCATACATTGGTACAAGTACACACATGCTTGCTCAGTAGTCAGATGAAAATAAACTTATAACTCTTTCAAACCTCCTTTTGTTAACGCAATTTTACACATTATCGATTTGTTGCAGGCTTCCTGAATGTGGTACAAACGCAAACGGTAGACTAGGACTGAACATCACACGTAATTCTAAGCCACTTAGGGTGATTCCTTTGCATGTAAGTAACCTACTAGGTATATTATATATATCTTTATATATTGAGACAGGTTTGCAAGTATATCATTGGACAGTGTAACATAGATTTATTGCATCGACGTCCTCTGTCTATGCCTTGTTTTTGTTCCCGTTCTGAATTCTTATTCTTCCTACATTAAAATCCCATTCGTTGTACACGCAGTGCTTGTGAGCGCTACCTAGGTCCCGATTCTCTTCAAACATCATAGGCATAATTTCCGGCATCCCGTGACGGCCACTGAGCTATTCGTCTTCCAAAATCAGTTTTACATGCCTGTCTAGCCTCCCTTTCTTTGTTTTTGGCCCTTTTTGATGCTTTTCATTCTGGCTACCTATCTCCAGTATCCTAGGTGCTATGAACATCTATCAGATCAATCTAGACAGTCAAATAAATGCTCATTCATCAGAGACGCAAACATGCCCTTTAAAATGATATCCTTTGAGTAAATCGGTCCCAAACGGAATATCTACCAAGTCCCGTCCTATTATAACAGGCATTGGCTATATGCCATCATTTTTCTCTACGCATTTAGCCCCCTTCCGATATTTTTGTTTTCTTGAAATTTTGCAAGTGTATTCTCCGTGGCCAAACCCTATGTTATACCCCACTTGTTTTGGTCGTATGGAAGGCGGTTCGGGCTACAGCATGCGCGTCATGACGTGTTCCTCTTTTACCAAATTTCATTCGTTTTGCTCGCAGTGCTTGTTCACCCATTTTAGGTCCCTTCTTCTTTTTCGATTCTTTCAAAAAGTCGTAAGCATAGTTTTCAGGATCCCATCGTGGTCACTGAATCTTCATTCTCTAAAATCATTAATAAATGACTGTCCAGGCCCGATATTTGTTAGTTTCGGGTACCTTGTCATGCCTTTCTTTCTGCCGTCCTATTTCCAATTTGCCTAAAGCTAAAGCGTGGATTTTGTTACATAACGTACAGGGCATTTTAAGGGGAAATGTGCACAGAGAGGAACATAATTTTCTTTTGTGAGGAAGAGTTTAAATCAAATAGTATATCCTATTAGGTGAAAAATGTTGATAACAAGAGGGTTGATTTTTATTTTTAAAATTAAAATGTCAAATTAAAGGAGCAGGGTGCATCGTTTGAACATTATGCGGCTAAAATATGAAAGTACTTTCTAATTCCAGGATGATGGTAAACTCTCTGTAGAGAAATGCCACTTATCTTCCGAAATGACTGAGAGAATGTGGTCCTGTCTCAGATCCTTCAACTTACTGAACCATCTCACCATCTCAGACTCCTCTCTCAGTTTCCCTTCATCTCCTTTTGAACTTCCATTCGTCACAAAGCTATCAGCTGAGAGAGTGACGTCACAAAGCTATGAAGGTCTGCTCTCGTCGCTCCCTGGATTGAGACATATCGATATCACTATCGATGATGCAGAGAGAGACATACCTCAGATCACGGCTGGTCTTCGTCGGACCGGAGGACAGCAGTTCACGCACATCACGATTACAGCACCGTCATTACTGCCATCAGAGAAAAGGAGTGTATCAAGAGAGACGATGAGAGGACTCGGTCTACTGATCAGAGAACAAACCAAGAACCTTCAGTGGCTTTGTCTGTCCAGAGTGAAGTGCACAGACGAGGAAGACTTGGTTGAATTCGTCGAGACTTGCAGACATGTGGAGACGATGAATCATCTAATGTGAGTTTATTGTACAAATCTTGTGTCAGTCAACAATATTGATATTGATATTAACAATAATAATGATAAAGATAATAGTAATGATAACAATATTCATAATGATAATAGTTATAATATAATTAATAACAACAATAATGATGATAGAGATAAAAATAAAAATAGCAAAATAGGTATTTTAATGTTTAACACTAATAATATACCCGATAAAACGTGATCATTACGCCATCATGCGCAACAGATGTGGTTAATTTTCTTTAGTTTATAATGGGCTAAGAACTAATAATATGTAACTACAGACTCATAAAGTGATAGTTGAGTTTTGTTGCAGAGGGCGCTATTTTTGTGTGAGATAATGACAAACTGAGTGTCAAATTTACAAGATTATACAATTTAAAAGAGAAAATCAGCTTTGTTTGATAGAAATCGGGTCAGATACGGCTGTAATAAACAAAATATCTGTGATGCTTCACAAATATTCGGTAATTTTGAACCAGCCGTAGAAAAACAATTTACGCCTTTTACGTCTTATTCCGGCCAATGCCAACATTGGCTTTCGTTGGCTTTTTCATGTTAGTTATAAAACACACAACCTGCCGGGCCGTGTATGGTCATTATTGATTAATTAATTAATTAACAGTCACCAATTTTTTTTAAAGTGGAGCTGAATTGGTATGATCGTATTAAATCTAAATTCACACATGTTGGTGTTTAAAATTACCTTCATAGCAAAGTTAGGTTCTAAAATGACACTAGGAATGTCACAAATAAGCATAGTAATGAACTTTGAAGGCATTTGCGGTCTGAAACAACAACTCGACTATCCCTTTGTTTGTATTTGTTTGCATTAATTTCACCATATTTTTTGTATCGGATGTCTACAGTTGAGTTAAACAGAAGAAAAGAAGAAAATATTGAGAGTCTGTCAGCTGAAAAGACCTCTAGACCTCTAGACCTCTTCATGATATGGCAGATGACGTAAATTATTCAAAGCTATAAAGGGGTGTGAATGTTGTTATGTTAAATATATGTATGATGTTCACTCCCCAAAATGGGCCGGAAATATATCAAAACAAATTTCTAACAGTCGGCAAGCTGTATGTTCGACTAGCTTAATTTGCTTCTGTTCATCACATTAGGCCCTACTTTTTTTGGATCTATTTAAACGACCTACTGAAATCACCAAGTAGAGATTGGTTGTAGCTTCTTTACCATTGGGAAAATCTCGTTTTTATTCAGTAAATACATCTGAGAATCTCAGATTAAGTCAATTGTTTGATGCCAATAAGATAACTATTAAAAAATTAAGAAAATTGTTCTTGTCACGCCAAGACGTTATTCTGTAAAACACACTGTACGGAGCGAGACATTTATTTCCTAAAAAGATACTTTTATTATGATATCATTCATTCATCCAAACACATAGGTCTATATCTTAAATGGTCTAAAAGTGTGGGGATGAACATCTGCTGCAAAGATGATACTCGACTCGGTCTTACATGCAAGATAAACAGAAACAGAAATGTTTTTATTATATTGCAGACACATGTGGTAAATAAGTTTGGTCCACAAAATGCAGCTATTTCTCGTAATATTTCGACTATTTCCAGGGCCATGCTTTTGAACGGACATATTCAAATTAATATTAATTGACATTAACATAAAAGTAAATAGAAAGCTCACAGTTAATTTTCTATTTTTCATAGAACTTCGCCATCTATCTAATTTAAATTTTAAGGGAAATAACAAACCCGAGCAGGATTATTTTTTTTAAAGCAATCACCCCCATATATAACAACTATTTTTTGTCTTTCCTTAAAACTTATTCATACATGGACTCCTCTTCAAACATGTCAAACGGGTTCAATGCGACGTGACTTGGTGTTACTAGTAGAGCAGTGCATGGTTTCGTAACCGGGAGATCCCTTAATCGAAACCAAGTCGATGCACTAGTGCCCATAGGAAAGGCAGTAATTCTAAGTCCTTCGAGGAGGACTTAAGGCCATCGATCCCATACATTGGTACAAGTACACACATGCTTGCTCAGTAGTCAGATGAAAATAAACTTATAACTCTTTCAAACCTCCTTTTGTTAACGCAATTTTACACATTATCGATTTGTTGCAGGCTTCTTGAATGTGGTACAAACGCAAACGGTAGACTAGGACTGAACATCACATGTAGTGTTAAGCCACTCAGGGTGATTCCTTTGCATGTAAGTAACCTACTAGGTATATGATATATATCTTTATATATTGAGACAGGTATGCAAGTATATCATTGGACAGTGTAACATAGATTTATTGCATCGACGTCCCCTGTCTATGCCTTGTTTTTGTTCCCGTTCTGAAATTCTTATTCTTCCTACATTAAAATCCCTTTCGTTGTACACGCAGTGCTTGTGAGCGCTACCTAGGTCCCGATTCTCTTCAAACGTCATAGGCATAATTTCTAGTATCCCGTGACGGCCCCTGAGCTATTCGTCTTCCAAAATCAGTATTGCATGCCTGTCTAGCCTTTCGTTCTTTGTTTTTGGCCCTTTTTGATGCGTTTCATTCTGCCTACCTATCTCTAGTATCCTAGGTGCTATGAAATTCTGTCAGATCAATCTAGACAGTCAAATAAATGCTCATTCATCAGAGACGCAAACATACCCTTTAAAATGATATCCTTTGAATAAATCGGTCCCAAACGGAATATCTACCACCTGTCCTATTATAACAGGCATTGGCTAAATGACATCATTTTTCTCTACGCATTTTTCCCCCTTCCGATCTTTTGTTTTCCTTAAAGTTTTGCAAATATATTCTCCGTGGCCAAACCCTATGTTATACCCCACTTGTTTTGGTCGTATGGAAGGCGGTTCGGGCTACAGCATGCGCGTCATGACGTGTTCCTCTTTTACCAAATTTCATTCGTTTTGCTCGCAGTGCTTGTTCACACATTTTAAGTCCCTTCTTCTTTTTCGATTCTTTCAAAAAGTCGTAAGCTTAGTTTTCAGGATCCCATTCTGGTCACTGAATCTTCATTCTCTAAAATCATTAATAAATGACTGTCCAGGCCCGATATTTGTTAGTTTTGGGTACCTTGTCATGCCTTTCTTTCTGCCGTCCTATTTCCACTTTGCCTAAAGCTAAAGCGTGGATTTTGTTACATAACGTACAGGGCATTTTAAGGGTAAATGTGCACAGAGAAAAATATAATTTTCTTTTGTGGGGAAGATTTAAATCAAATAGTAAATCATATTAAGTGAACAATGTTGATAACAAGAAGGTTGATTTTTATTTTTAAAATTAAAATGTCAAATTGAAGGAGCAGGGTGCATTGTTTGAACATTATGCGGCTAAAATATGAAAGTACTTTCTAATTCCAGGATGATGGTAAACTCTCTGTAGAGAAATGCCACTTATCTTCCGAAATGACCGAGAGAATGTGGTCCTGTCTCAGATCCTTCAACTCACTGAACCACCTCACCATCTCAGACTCCTCTCTCAGTTTCCCTTCATCTCCTCTTGAGCTTCCATTCGTCACAAAGCTATCAGCTGAGAGAGTGACTTTAAAAAGCTATGAAGGTCTGCTCTCGTCGCTCCCTGGCTTGAGACATATCAATATCACTATCGATGATGCAGAGAGAGACATACCTCAGATCACGGCTGGTCTTCGTCGGACCGGAGGACAGCAGCTCACACACATCATCATTACAGCACCGTCAACACTCCCATCAGAGAATAACAGGGTATCAAGAGAGACGATGAGAGGACTGGGTCTACTGATCAGAGAACAAACCAAGAACCTTAAGTGGCTTTGTCTGTCCAGAGTGAAGTGCACAGACGAGGAAGACTTGGTTGAATTCGTCGAGACTTGCAGACATGTGGAGACGATGAATTATCTAATGTGAGTTTATTGTACAAATCTTGTGTCAGTCAATAATATTGATATTGATATAAACAATAATAATGATAAAGATAATAGTAATGATAACAATATTCATAATGATAATAGTTATAATATAATTAATAACAACAATAATGATGATAGAGATAAAAATAAAAATAGCAAAATAGGTATTTTAATGTATAACACTAATAATATACCTGATAAAACTTGATCAATACGCTATCATGCGCAACAGATGTGGTTAATTTGTTTTAGTTTATAATGGGCTAAGAACTAATAACATGTAACTACAGACTTATAAAGTGATAGTTGAGTTTTGTTGCAGAGGGCGCTATTTTTGTGTGAGATAATGACAAACTGAGTGTCAAATTTACAAGATTATACAATTTAAAAGAGAAAATCAGCTTTGTTTAATAGAAATCGGGTCAGATACGGCTGTAATAAACAAAATATCTGTGATGCTTCACAAAAATTCGGTAATTTTGAACCAGCCGTAGAAAAACAATATACGCCTTTTACGTTTTATTCCGGCCAATGCCAACATTGGCTTTCGTTGGCTTTTACATGTTAGATATAAAACACACAACCAGCCGGCCCGTGTATGGTTATTATTGATTAATTAATTAATTAACGGTCATAATTTTTTTTTTAAGTGGAACTGAATTGGTATGATCGTATTAAATCTAAATTCACACATTTTGGTGTTTAAAATTACCTTCATAGCAAAGTTAGGTTCTAAAATGACACTAGAAATGTCACAAATAAGCATAATAATGAACTTTGAAGGCAATTGCGATCTGAAACAACAACTCAACTATCCATTTATTTGTCTTTGTTTGCATTGATTTCAACATATTTTTTGTATCGGATGTCCACAGTTGAGTTAAACAGAAGAAAAGAAGAAAATATTGAGAGTCTGGCAGCTGGAAGGACCTCTGGACCTCTAGACCTCTTCATGATATGCCAGATGACGTAAATTATTCAAAGCTATAAAGGGGTGTGAATGTCGTTATGTTAAATATATGTATGATGTTCACTCCCCAAAATGAACCGGAAATATATCAAAAGAAATTCCTAACAGTCGGCAAGCTGTTCGACTAGCTTAATTTGCTTCTGTTCATCACATTAGGCCCTACTTTTTTTTGGATCTATTTAAACGACCTACTGAAATCACCAAGTAGAGATTTGTTGTAGCTTCTTTACCATTGGAAAACTCTCGTTTTTATTTAGTAGATACATCTGAAAATCTCAGATTAAGTCAATTGTTTGATGCCAATAAGATAACTATTAAAAAATAAGAAAATTGTTATTGTCACGCCAAGACGTTATTCTGTAAAACACACTGTACGGAGCGAGACATTTATTTCCTAAAAAGATACTTTTATTATGATATCATTCATTCATCCAAACACATAGGTCTATATCATAAATGGTCTAAAAGTGTGGGGATGAACATCTGCTGCAAAGATGATACTCGACTCGGTCTTACATGCAAGATAAACAGAAACAGAAATGTTTTTATTATATTGCAGACACATGTGGTAAATAAGTTTGGTCCACAAAATGCAGCTATTCATCGTAATATTTCGACTATTTCCAGCGCCATCCTTTTGAACGGACATATTCAAAATAATATTAACATAAAAGCAAATAGAAAGCTCACAGTTATTTTTCTATCTTTCATAGAACTCCGCCTTCTATTTAATTTAAATTATAAGGAAAATAACAAACCCGAGCAGGATTAATTTTTTTTTTTAAACAATCACCCCCATTTATAACAACTATTTCTTGTCTTTCCTTAGAACTTATTCATACATGGACTCCTTTTCAATCATGTCGAATGGGTTCAATGCGACGTGGCTTAGTGTTACTAGTAGAGCAGTGCATGGTCTCGTAACCGGGAGATCCCTTAATCGAAACCAAGTCGATGCACTAGTGCCCATAGGAAAGGCAGTAATTCTAAGTCCTTCGAAGAGGACTTAAGGCCATCGATCCCATACATTGGTACAAGTACACACATGCTTGCTCAGTAGTCAGATGAAAATAAACTTATAACTCTTTCAAACCTCCTTTTGTTAACGCAATTTTACACATTATCGATTTGTTGCAGGCTTCTTGAATGTGGTACAAACGCAAACGGTAGACTAGGACTAAACATCACATGTAGTGTTAAGCCACTCAGGGTGATTCCTTTGCATGTAAGTAACCTACTAGGTATATTATATATATCTTTATATATTGAGACAGGTATGCAAGTATATCATTGGACATTGTAACATAGATTTATTGCATCGACGTCCTCTGTCTATCCCTATTTTTTGTTCCCGTTCTGAAATTCTTATTCTTCCTACATTAAAATCCCATTCGTTGTACACGCAGTGCTTGTGAGCGCTACCTAGGTCCCGATTCTCTTCAAACATCATAGGCATAATTTCCGGCATCCCGTGACGGCCACTGAGCTATTCGTCTTCCAAAATCAGTATTGCATGCATGTCTAGCCTCCCTTTCTTTGTTTTTGGCCCTTTTTGATGCGTTTCATTCTGGCTACCTATCGCCAGTATCCTAGGTGCTATGAACGTCTATCAGATCAATCTAGACAGTCAAATAAATGCTCATTCATCAGAGACGCAAACATGCCCTTTACAATGATTTCCTTTGAGTAAATCGGTCCCAAACGGAATATCTACCAAGTTCCGTCCTATTATAACAGGCATTAGCTATATGCAAGCATTTTTCTCTACGCATTTTGCCCCCTTCCGATCTTTTTGTTTTCCTTGAAGTTTTGCAAATGTATTCTCCGTGGCCAAACCCTATGTTATACCCCACTTGTTTTGGTCGTATGGAAGGCGATTCGGGCTACAGCATGCGCGTCATGATGTGTTCCTCTTTAACCAAATTTCATTCGTTTTGCTCGCAGTGCTTGTTCACACATGTTAGGTCCCTTCTTCTTTTTCGATTCTTTCAAAAATTCGTAAGCATAGTTTTCAGGATCCCATCTTGGTCACTGAATCTTCATTCTCTAAAATCATTAATAAATGACTGTCCAGGCCCGATATTTGTTAGTTTCGGGTACCTTGTCATGCCTTTCTTTCTGCCGTCCTATTTCCACTTCGCCTAAAGCTAAAGCGTAGATTTTGTTACATAACGTATAGGGCATTTTAAGGGTAAATGTGCACAGAGAAGAATATCATTTTCTTTTGTGAGGATGAGTTTAAATTAAATAGTATATCCTATTTGGTGAAAAATGTTGATAACAAGAGGGTTGATTTTTATTTTTTTAAATTAAAATGTTAAATTAAAGGAGCAGGGTGCATCCTTCGAACATTATGCGGCTAAAATATAAAAGTACTTTCTAATTCCAGGATGATGGTAAACTCTCTGTAGAGAAATGCCACTTATCTTCCGAAATGACTGTGAGAATGTGGACCTGTCTCAGATCCTTCAGCTCACTGAACCATCTCACCATCTCAGACTCCTCTCTCAGTTTCCCTTCAACTCCTCTTGAGCTTCCATTCGTCACAAAGCTATCAGCTGAGAGAGTGACTTTAAAAAGCTATGAAGGTCTGCTCTCGTCGCTCCCTGGCTTGAGACATATCGATATCACTATTGATGATGCAGAGAGAGACATACCTCATATCACGGCTGGTCTTCGTCGGACCGGAGGAGAGCAGTTCACGCACATCACGATTACAGCACCGTCATCACTCCCATCAGAGAAAAGGAGTGTATCAAGAAAGACGATGAGAGGACTGGGTCTACTGATCAGAGAACAAACCAAGAACCTTCAGTGGCTTTGTCTGTCCAGAGTGAAGTGCACAGACGAGGAAGACTTGGTTGAATTCGTCGAGACTTGCAGACATGTGGAGACGATGAATCATCTAACGTGAGTTTATTGTACAAATCTTGTGTCAGTCAATAATATTGATATTGATATAAATAATAATAATGATAAAGATAATAGTAATGATGAAAGTATTCTTAATGATAATAATTATAATATAATTAATAACAACAATAATGATGATAGAGATAAAAATAAATATAGCAAAATAGGTATTTTAATGTATAACACTAATAATACACCTGATAAAACTTGATTACGCTATCATGCGCAACAGATGTGGTTAATTTTCTTTAGTTTATAATGGGCTAAGAACTAATAACATGTAACTACAGACTCATAAAGTGATAGTTGAGTTTTGTTGCAGAGGGCGCTATTTTTGTGTGAGATAATGACAAACTGAGTGTCAAATTTAAAAGATTATACAATTTAAATGAGGAAATCATCTTTGTTTGATAGAAATCGGGTCAGATACGGCTGTAATAAACAAAATATCTGTGATGCTTCACAATAATTCGGTAATTTTGAACCAGCCGTAGAAAAACGATATTCGCCTTTTACGTTTTATTCCGGCCAATGCCAACATTGGCTTTCGTTGGCTTTTTCATGTTAGTTATAAAACACACAACAAGCCGGCCCGTGTATGGTCATTATTTATTAATTAATTAATTAACGGTCACCAATTTTTTTTAAAGTGGAGCTGAATTGGTATGATCGTATTAAATCTAAATTCACACATTTTGGTGTTTAAAATTTCCTTCATAGCAAAGTTAGGTTCTAAAAGGACACTAGAAATGTTACAAATAAGCATAATAATGAACTTTGAAGGCAATTGCGATCTGAAACAACAACTCAACTATCCCTTTGTTTGTATTTGTTTGCATTGATTTCACCATATTTTTGGTATCGGATGTCTACAGTTGAGTTAAACACAAGAAAAGAAGAAAATATTGAGAGTCTGGCAGCTGGAAGGACCTCTAGACCTCTAGACCTCTTCATGATATGGCAGATGACGTAAATTATTCAAAGCTATAAAGGGGTGTGAATGTCGTTATGTTAAATATATGTATGATGTTCACTCCCCAAAATGGGCCGGAAATATATCAAATTTTTTTTCTAACAGTCGGCAAGCTGTATGTTCGTCTAGCTAAATTTGCTTCTGTTCATCACATTAGGCCCTACTTTTTTGGATCTATTTAAACGACCTACTGAAATCACCAAGTAGAGATTGGTTGTATCTTCTTTACCATTGGGAAAATCTCGTTTTTATTTAGTAGATACATCTAAGAATCTTACATTAAGTCAATTGTTTGATGCCAATAAGATAACTATTAAAAAAATAAGAAAATTGTTATTGTCACGCCAAGACGTTATTCTGTAAAACACACTGTACGGAGCGAGACATTTATTTCCTAAAAAGATACTTTTATTATAATATCATACATTAATCCAAACACATAGGTCTATATCATAAATGGTCTAAAAGTGTGGGGATGAACATCTGCTGCAAAGATGATACTCGACTCGGTCTTACATGCAAGATAAACAGAAACAGAAATGTTTTTATTATATTGCAGACACATGTGGTACATAAGTTTGGTCCACAAAATGCAGCTATTTCTCGTAATATTTCGACTATCTCCAGGGCCATCCTTTTGAACGGACATATTCAAAATAATATTAATTGACATTAACATAAAAGTAAATAGAAAGCTCTCAGTTAATTTTCTATTTTTCATAGAACTCCGCCATCTATCTAATTTAAATTTTAAGGGAAATAACAAACCCGAGCAAAATATTATTTTTTAAGCAATCACCCCCATTTATAACAACTATTTCTTGTCTTTCCTTAGAACTTATTCATACATGGACTCCTCTTCAAACATGTCAAACGGGTTCAATGCGACGTGGCTTGGTGTTACTAGTAGAGCAGTGCATGGTCTCGTAACCGGGAGATCCCTTAATCGAAACCAAGTCGATGCACTAGTGCCCATAGGAAAGGCAGTAATCATAATTCCTTTGAAGAGGAATTAAGGCCATCGATCCCATACATTGGTACAAGTACACACATGCTTGCTCAGTAGTCAGATGAAAATAAACTTATAACTCTTTCAAACCTCATTTTGTTAACGCAATTTTACACATTATCGATTTGTTGTAGGCTTCCTGAATGTGGTACAAACGCAAACGGTAGACTAGGACTGAACATCACATGTAGTGTTAAGCCACTCAGGGTGATTCCTTTGAATGTAAGTAACCTACTAGGTATGTTATATACATATTTATATACTGAAACAGGTATGCAAGTATATCATTGGACAGTGTAACATAGATTTTTTGCATCGACGTCCCCTGTCTATGCCTTGTTTTTGTTCGCGTTCTGAATTCTTATTCTTCCTACATTAAAATCCCATTCGTTGTACACGCAGTGCTTGTGAGCGCTACCTAGGTCCCGATTCTCTTCAAACGTCATAGGCATAACTTCCGGCATCCCATGACGGCCCCTGAGCTATTCGTCTTCCAAAATTAGTACTGCATACCTGTCTAGCCTTTCTTTCTTTGTTTTTGGCCCTTTTTGATGCGTTTCATTCTGCCTACCTATGTCCAGTATCCTATGTGCTATGAACTTCTATCAGATCAATCTAGACAGTCAAAGGATTGCTCATTTATCAGAGACGCAAACATGCCCTTTAAAATGATATCCTTTGAATAAATCGGTCCCAAACGGAATATCTACCAAGTCCCGTCCTATTGTAACAGGCATTGGCTATATGCCATCATTTTTCTCTACGCTTTTTTCCCCCTCCCGATCTTTTTGTTTCCTTGAAATTTTGCAAGTGTATTCTCCGTGGCCAAACCCTATGTTATACCCCACTTGTTTTGGTCGTATGGAAGGCGGTTCGGGCTACAGCATGCGCGTCATGACGTGTTCCTCTTTTACCAAATTTCATTCGTTTTGCTCGCAGTGCTTGTTCACACCTTTGAGGTCTCTTCTTTTTTTCTCGATTCTTTCAAAAAGTCGTAAGCTTAGTTTTCAGGATCCCATTCTGGTCACTGAATCTTCATTCTCTAAAATCATTAATAAATGACTGTCCAGGCCCGACATTTGTTAGTTTCGGGTACCTTGTCATGCCTTGCTTTCTGCCGTCCTATTTCCAGTTTGCCTAAAGCTAAAGCGTGGATTTTGTTACATAACGTACAGGGCATTTTAAGGGGAAATGTGCACAGAGAAGAATATAATTTTCTTTTGTGGGGAAGAGTTTAAATCAAATAGTATATCCTATTAAGTGAAAAATATTGATAACAAGAAGGTTGATTTTTATTTTTTAAATTAAAATGTCAAATTAAAGGAGCAGGGTGCATCCTTCGAACATTATGCGGCTAAAATATGAAAGTACTTTCTAATTCCAGGATGATGGTAAACTCTCTGTAGAGAAATGCCACTTATCTTCCGAAGTGACTGAGAGAATGTGGTCCTGTCTCAGATCCTTCAACTCACTGAACCATCTCACCATCTCAGACTCCTCTCTCAGTTTCCCTTCATCTCCTCTTGAGCTTCCATTCGTCACAAAGCTATCAGCTGAGAGAGTGACGTCACAAAGCTATGAAGGTCTGCTCTCGTCGCTCCCCGGATTGAGACATATCGATATCACTATCGATGATGCAGAGAGAGACATACCTCAGATCACGGCTGGTCTTCGTCGGACCGGAGGACAGCAGCTCACACACATCATCATTACAGCACCGTCAACACTCCCATCAGTGAATAACAGGGTATCAAGAAAGACGATGAGAGGACTGGGTCTACTGATCAGAGAACAAACCAAGAACCTTCAGGGGCTTTGTCTGTCCAGAGTGAAGTGCACAGACGAGGAAGACTTGGTTGAATTCGTCGAGACTTGCAGACATGTGGAGACGATGAATCATCTAATGTGAGTTTATTGTACAAATCTTGTGTCAGTCAATAATATTGATATTGATATAAACAATAATAATGATAAAGATAATAGTAATGATAACAATATTCATAATGATAATAATTATAATATAATTAATAACAACAATAATGATGATAGAGATAAAAATAAAAATAGCAAAATAGGTATTTTAATGTATAACACTAATAATATACCTGATAAAACTTGATCAATACGCTATCATGCGCAACAGATGTAGTTAAATTTGTTTAAGTTTATAATGGGCTAAGAACTAATAACATGTAACTACAGACTCATAAAGTGATAGTTGAGTTTTGTTGCAGAGGGCGCTATTTTTGTGTGAGATAATGACAAACTGAGTGTCAAATTTAAAAGATTATACAATTTAAATGAGAAAATCATCTTTGTTTGATAGAAATCGGGTCAGATACGGCTGTAATAAACAAAATATCTGTGATGCTTCACAAATATTCGGTAATTTTGAACCAGCCGTAGAAAAACGATAAACGCCTTTTACGTCTTATTCCGGCCAATGCCAACATTGGCTTTCGTTGGCTTTTTCATGTTAGTTATAAAACACACAACCAGCCGGCCCGTGTATGTTTTTCTTGTCCTCTTACCGAGGTGTTTTATTTCACATATTTCACATTTCATATATATTTACATCATTTTGCATTTTAACATAATAACAAAAAAAAGACAAAGCATTTAAATAAATAGTTATAACCTTAACATTTCTTGAAAAATTTCTTTGTGTTTCGTTAATAGAAAACTTTTTTTTTTATTTGCTATGTAATATCGTAGTTTTAGTTTGAAATTAATGAACAGACTTTTACTATTGTACTCTTTTCCATTACACCGAAGTTTAATATACATTATGTATATTATGTATTGTCCTAAAATTAACAAGAAGTTTATCACAAATTTTTCCTTTTTTTCAATAAAATACACTTATACTAATGCTTTTTCATTAATTTTTATTTGTTCATGAAAGTAATTATAATAATATTCCTTATTGCAATAAGTTTTCAATAATTTTTAAAAAGCCTCTAACCTTGTTACATTTTAACAAGACATGAAAAGTATTTTCTTTTTCTTTACATATATCACACTGGTCATTTTCCATTATACGCCATCTGCATTAATTTAGTTTTGAAGGAAATATGTTATTCAATATTTTAAAATCAACTTGCTCTATCATATCATTTCCTATTTGTTGAAATTTAAAATTGAATACATTCTGCCATTTAAAAGAAACAGGTAAGTTCAAGTAATATTCCCAGTAACGTGTGACATTTGGTTTTTGAAGTTTTTGTTTCAGGAGGGATAAATATTAATGTTTCGTCTTGAAACTAGATATATCAACAAAATCTCCAGTAGCTACCTCAATTAAATTTGAATCGTTTACTAATTAATTCAACATTCTGTCGAACGTATAATTTATTCAACCAATCGCATGGGAAACATTTCGTCAATTTTGCATATTCGAACTCAAATAATAATTGATGAATACCAACTTTTCTATTTAACATAAACGAGTTTTTCCAAATACCATTTGACATTACGTGCTTTACTTTACGATTTTGAAAACAATAATGTAGAATTCTTGAATCTGATATGGCTGTTTTTTCATAATATCTCCTCTTCTATATCTGTTACATCAACTAAACCTCGATATTTAAATTATGACCATGCGACAAGAAGATTTTGATACAACTCTGGAAGTCCTTTTTGTATACACATCATTTTCATATTTTTCTTATTCAAGTTATATCGTAAAATATCTGGGAAAAATCCAATCCTGTCCATCCAATATCTGAATAATGATTTCCATCTACAAGTTTTTTCATCCAATAATTTGCTTATCCAAGATAAATACAAAGAATTTATTTTCGATTCAATGTCTACAATATCAAGACCACCATCTAACTGTTTATTTATACAGACATTTCTTTTCACTCTTTCTCTTTTTGAACTCCAAAGAAAAGCATATATACTTTTATTCAATGATGTAATAAAAAAATAGGAACAGGTACTACCGTTGCCGTATAGACAATTTGTGAAACGATTAAGGCTTTAATAACAACCACTTTACCATAAAACGTTAATATTCTCTGTTTCCAGTCTTTCAATATATTTTGGATTTTTTCGATTTTGTCATCCCAAATTAAACGTTTATTTTCCCTTTTATTTATCCCGACATATATTCCCAAATATTTTATTGGTTGTTCAGTACTTTCCCCACATTCTCCATTCGTATAATCTGTATTGACCTTCATTATTTTAGTCTTATCCCAATTTACTTGAGGACCTGCCACTGCCCCAAAGTTTCTGACCTCTTCCATAACCTTATTAAATGATTTTGAACTATTTACACAAATGGTTGTGTCATCTGCGAATTGAGACACTTTTAATTCGGACAATATCTAAGATATAATTCATTTCCATTTTATATCTTCGTTTTGTCGGATCTTACATGCTAGAAATTCTGCTACAATAACGAAAAGTAAAGAAGACAATGGGCATCCCTGTCTTACCCCTTGCTCAATAGAGAACGAATTTAACATCCATCCGTAATTCATCACCTTTCCCTTTGCATCACTATACAAAGTTTGAACCCATTTGATAAAACCTTCCTTAAATTGAAACTTTTTTAAAGCGCGTAGTAAAAATTAGTGGCTAACATTATCGTATGCTTTTTTGAAATCCAGAAACATAATAATACAAGGCAACTTCTTATCTAAACAATAGTCAATAACATCCTGAGTCAGTCTGACATTTTCTGTTGCTGACCTTTTTTTTTTAATAAAGCCGGTTTGATCTGTTGAAATGATACCACCTATAACATTTTGTAATCGTTTTGATAAAACTTGTGCATATAATTTATAGTCTACGTTTAGGAGAAATATAGGTCTCCAATTATCTAGAATTCTTTTATTTCCCTTTTTAAACAACAATGTTAAAACAGCTTGCCTTTGACTTGGTGACAAACACTGTTTACCGTACCCGTAGTTCAAACAATCTATTATTAAATATTTTACCTCCGACCAAAAACATTTGTAGAACTCTACACTCAAGCCGTCGCTTCCAGGTGCTTTGTTATTATGCATAGAAGAGAGTGCTTCAGCACATTCCTTTTCTGTAAGGTCACCTTCACATCTTAGTGCCTCATTTTCTTTTAAAGTTGTCAACTAAACATTACAAACAAAATTGTCAATATATTCTTCTTTTTTGGTATTACCTTTTATACTATACAAATCTTTGTAATAATTATAAATTTCGAATAATATTTTGTCCTGTTTAACAAATTTCTTTCCTGACTTTTCTATACAATCAATTACCTTTTTTATACCATTTCTTTTTTCAAGCTGCAAGAAATAACGGGTTGATTTTTCCCCTTCTTCTAACCATTTTCTCCTGGAACGGATGAAGGCTCCTTTACATTTTTCAATTAAAAAATTATCAACCTGATTTTGAACATCTTTTAACTCTTGCATATTTTCTTCAGTCGGGTTCCTATTTACTTCCTTTTGCAATGGATGGTATTTCTTTTCTAAATCTTCATGAATCACTCTTTTCGTTTTACTAATTTCTTTTCAATATTTCATTGAAAATTCTTTAATTTTCACTTTACACATTTCCCATTTCATTTGTGCACATAACGAATCATTCGATTCAACCTTTCTAATTATATTCGAGAGATTTTCTTTATACACTTCATCATTTAACAATTGGTTGCCGGCCCGTGTATGGTTATTATTGATTAATTAATTAATTAACGGTCACCAATTTTGTTTTAAAAGGGAGCTGAATTGGTATGATCGTATTAAATCTAAATTCACACATTTTGGTGTTTAAAATTACCTTCATAGCAAAGTTAGGTTCTAAAGTGACACTAGAAATGTTACAAATAAGCATAGTAATGAACTTTGAAGGCATTTTGCGGTCTGAAACAACAACTCAACTATCCCTTTGTTTGTATTTGTTTGCATTGATTTCACCATATTTTTTGTATCGGATGTCTACAGTTGAGTTAAACAGAAGAAAAGAAGAAAATATTGAGAGTCTGGCAGCTGGAAGGACCTCT